TGAAGCAGTAGTAGCAAGCAGCCATGGGCCAGGCAGCTGCTTACTGTGGCAGAGGCAAGCAAGTGGCAGCAAGCCCGGTGGCCACAGGGAAAGTGGGACTGTTGCACAGCCTTTGTTCACCTGCCTGCTGCTAAGGGCCTTGTCCACAATGGCCACAGGGCCCCAGATTCAATAAAAGGCCGCATCCACCAGTGGCTACATCCCTGGCTTCTAGTAGTCTGCTAATAACCAGTATGCCACATGAAGCAGTTCCATGGGCTGTGTTCAGCCTGCAGGACATATGCTTGACATTGCTGGAGTAGAGCTAGCAGGGGCTTAGCCACAGCCTAGTGCAAAACTCACTGTCATCCACTGCTAAAAGCAAGCAAACAACTCACGAATTTAAGGACAACTTTTTTTTATTGCTACCAGAAGGCTTTCATCAGTACAATGGCTCTGAATACAATACCTTCCTCAGGGCTGTGGAGAGAGCTTAAGATCCAGGATAGGTCATTTTGAGAAACAGGAGGTATAACATTTAATAAGACAAGCTTTTAAAGGGTTAACTTTCAGTTAAAAGTTACTGAAACAAGAACTTAAGGTATTCTGTGGCTGATAAATACATGTTCCAAAACTGAGAATTATAGAACTGCCCCAAGCATCTAACCAAGCAGTGTTGAGTTCATGCTACGTTTATCAACGTGGAAGGATAAAACGGAAAAAAAAGAAAGAAAAAAAAACTGAGTCTGTCACAGAATTTAAGGTTTGTGTTTGATGTACACATTCCAGCTTTTGTGAGTACTCACAAAAGAGCCAATTGACTACAAATTTCCTCGGGCAGACATGAAAAACAATGTTTTTATTCAACTGCACTAATCAGTTCAACTGCTTTGGCTTTTTACAATTAAAAAAAACCCAAAACATAAGTCTCTTCATGTTGATAGATCAGGATAAATTAATATTTCTATAAGACAAAAGTGCAGTGGCTGTCTACCTTAATGCTTTCCTAGAACACATTCACACCGCTTTGGCTATTTGCTTATGGAGCAATCTGCAGTAATTGTACTTCCCCCTGCCCTCCCTCCCTGACTAATCTTTGATTTAAATCCAGTTTTAAATATTATCACATTTAAACATCAAAGTGCTAATGAAACACAAGAGGGGAATTTGTTTGCAAAAGGGGAAAGAAAATTTGTCATGAAGGTCAGAGTACAAGAACAGCATGCACAAGACTCACAAAGAGTTCAAAAGGAACAGCAAGCAGGAAGAGAGGAAGAAGGAAAAGGAAATCAGATCAGATAGACATAGGTTGGCTGGAAAACCTCAAACAATTTTGCACAATCAATGTGAGCTCCTGGACATGGAAGATGGTTACAACACACAGTAGCAGAAAAACAGTGGAACTGACAACACTAGAAAGAAACAATTTTTGCTACTTTTTTTTTGTTTGGTTTTTGGGTCTTTTATAGATTTTTTATACTTTTTTGTATTTTTAAATTGCTTAAATATTGGAACTATCATTAGCCGCACAAGAAAAAAAAATTCAAAGAGGGTTTTTTTCTGGGCTCCCTTCAGTTCAGCCTGATGAGGTACAGTCCCTTTCCCACCCTGCTTTTAATGTCATTGCCTGATTCCACATGTTTTACAAAGTAGCTTTCCTCTGAATGCCCAAGGAGTTGGTAAACACTTGTAACTACATGACAGAGACAGGCTGTAAAGGTGGGCAAGGGGAAGCATTGCCTTCTTGCCTCGAGACATCCGCACCACAAACAGAGCCCACATTTTCGAGAGCCACTACCTCTGGAGCCATGTCTTCATTGTAAAGCCGCTTAATTCCATCATAGAAGTCGTCCACTTCCATCTCTTCCACTTTACGCTTGGCAGAGGCTTGCTTGCACCCTGTCGGAGCAGGCAGATGCTGGTAGAACACAGCTGTACCTTTGATTGGCACTTCTGGTCTGCTGTTGTCCTTGGAGAAACCCGGGCCTGGGACAGAGGAGGGATGGTATTTGAACGCTCCTCTGTTACAGGTCACCAGGGTGTGCTTGAGGGGACTGTAGACATATACAGAATTGGGCGGCAGAGAAGACTGCAGGGTGGAAAGGTGATGTGCCACAAACTCCCGACAGTGGATCAGCTGGGAGCTGTCCATCTGGATGGAGAAAACAAGCAAAGACATGGGTATTGCAAAGGAAGATCAGTCAGTTGCTGCTGAGGAGACAGAACCATAAATCATTCTAGCTCTGGCTCCCTATGTACCCTGATCATTCACGCACATTACCACTTCTTGACAACAAGCTGAATGCAAGGAAAGCGATCGATTCATGGACAAATACAAAAACAAATCCTGCTTGAAGGCTGGGATTTGTCAAAGCTGCCCAATGATCTGGATGCCGAGTTACCATAACTAGTGGGGACTGTGCATTTAAGTTTCTTTCAGCTTCGAATCTCATCCAAGGTGCCTGAGAGTCCCATCTTTTATATGTTTGCCAAAGAACATCAGAAAAGGATCAAAACCTTCCACAAAGACTTCTGAGTTAGAGCTGTACCCAAGCATATTCCTCTCTCGCACACACAACAGGAATGCTTCAGGCTTCCTCATGTTACACAGAGTGCTTTAAGTGCAGGCTCTCATACAGCCAGTGACACTTTTTAGGCATCCCTCTAATGCTTGGAGCGCAGAGGTGCAATGAAAACAAAGGATGTACAGTAAATGTAACACTAGCTAGGCAGAGTGGGAAAGAATTCCAAAGTAACAATGATTGCTTAGTTTTAACCTCTTGTGGACAGCCTAACAGAGCCCCCTGCTGAAAGCATCTGTTTGGTTTATGCTTTACCTCCTGCCCCACAAGACAATGTTCTTTGCCTTTCAGAGCAAAAATGTATTCATCACCAAACATATCTGTGGAGCACTAAAGACCTAAGCATGTCTGTAAAAGGATGAGTGTGTCTAAGATCAGAGGCTGTGAATTTGAGTGCTTCAAACCCATCCCAATGACAACACAGAAATGCCCCTCTAAGGTCTGTTTCAGATAATGCACAGAAATGCAGCTGATCAAAGCTGGCTTATAACTCTGTTGAAGCCAACAATTACATCAAGTGAAGGATGGATTTCATGTCACCTCACTCAAGCTTTGTGCTTGACTTCTAAACTGTTGCCACAACCCTGCTCTCTGACCTGTTTTACAGTAGTGCAATACCAAGGACACCAGCAGAGATATTCCTGATTAGCACCAGTCAGAGCAAAGGAGGATCAGGCCCTGGTTATCTCTCTGCCATGCAGCTATATTTAGATTTTTAAAGGTACATGTCCCTTCTTGCAGCTTCCCTATTACATGACTCAGCTTTTATAGCACGGGTGTTGTATGTGATTGTAGCAACAACCCTGCCAGCCTCAAATATTTCCTGGAGCCTGAGAACACAAATCAGCTTGAACGAACTAGGTCTATGTTTAGCTTCAAACACAAAGGGGGAGGGAGGCTGCCTGTGCCAGTGAATTTCAGACTCTACAGCTCCCTCCATTAACCTGATGATTCACTCGCTTCCTAGCCTATGGCTACCCCAAATAATTAGCACTCAATCTGCTGCTAGAGCATGTGGCACCAGAAGAGAGAGGTTGCCCGACTACAGCAGCTTGATGTTTAGCATGGGCTGTCCGCTTCTCCTTCTCTGCTTAGTGGCAGTCACAGAAATAGCCAATCCCAGCCTCAAGCCCCTCTCCTCCCCTCGCTGCCAGAGACTTGCGTTGTCCAGACCATTTCTGAGCTGCCCCCACCTGTGCTTTCTGGAGCAGTTCAATGATGAGAGCAAGCCAGTCAGGAAGCAGTTTCTCCAGTTCCAAGCTGACGATGGCCAGCGCCAGCATAGAGCCCTTAAACTGCAGCAGCTGGTAACAGGCCATACAGTGCAGTAACTGCTTGGTGAGAATCGCCACATGCTGAGAGGGGGTCATCTTAGGCAAGATGGTCAGTAACTGAGGCCTGGTGGAGATGGCAACTGCATGGAACTGGAAGGGCAAGAGGGAGAATCAACCAGAGAAGTTAGTGAGAAAGTTGAACACACTGCTGCATAAAGAAGAAATGGCAAGAGAGCCCAGAGCCGAGTTCACAGGCCTCTTTTCTTTCCCAAAAACTGTGTGTGTGGCAAGAGCCTCCACTTACAGTAACCACCCATCCATACCATGTTCAGCTGAACATTCCCACTTTGACAATGTCTCCTATTGAGGAGAGCACTTTGAAGGGCAAAGACCCATGAGAAGTAAAAGACATTGTGTTAGGCTGTGCTAGGGATATGGGGCACAAAATTTTCCCCAGGAGACTGGTCTTAGGGTGACATTGTCTGGGACTCTTATTTCTCTGTGGTGAGGACTGCCCTGAGGAGAAAGACAGAAGGGTCTCAAGCCCAAAATGGTATCTCTGGCTTTGTGCTGCTGCCATGAGTATAGAATTCCTGTATGTCTAGAACTGCAAGGTTTGCAGGGAGCCTCAGTGGTTAAAAATGGGCAGAGTCAAACACTCACAGTCTCCCTTTTCATTCATGGAGATCTTCCATGAGGGGAGAGACTTAGGGCTTTTTTTATTCCTTTTATCCATGCACCCCCCCCCCTCCTTCCACACCATGGATTTCACTACAGGAAACCAGTCTGTGCCCCTGTTTTTTACCAAGGTAACTGTTGCAGCTACAGGACACTGTTGTGCATCTACATCCATTAATTACGGTTTCCTCCAGCCCATTTTTTTGTATTCTATTGCAAGCTTGTTTTTATCCTGGAGCAAAACATACTGGCACTAAAATTTAAGGTCAAGATTGTGATGAGTGACTACTGATGTTAGGTGCCTCATAGCTTGGATGTCTGCCATTAGACAGCTCTTAGCAACCTGCATTTCTGGGGGCAGATGCACAGCACATTCTGGAAAAATCACCTAAAAATGGTCTTAACTTCAACCCTTAAAATACTTTGAAGTCACTTGGCAAGTCCTCTGCCAAGAATGTTTCTTCTTTTGAGTGTACTTTATATGAAGGGAAGGCCATACCCCAGGGCTCTTACTTCTGCTAGGTTTTGCCCAAGCAAGGTTTGAGTAAGCACCTCTGGGTATGACACACACTTGAATTAAATACCAACAGAACAAAAACAAGGACAGGCATCAGAAAGAGCAGCAGGAGCTCCATACTTACAATATGAAGGAAATCCACTGGCGTAGCCGTGTGAAGATCCCAGTTCAGTTTATCCAGAATAATCTTCTCCATCCTGCGAATCTCAGCTGGAGAACAACCACAAAAGCTGTCTCGGGCCAAGACTCTTAGTACTGGGATCCTCTGCAAGAACGTACAGTAAAAGCAAAAACAATGATAAACTGCAAAAATTAGTTTGTTCCTGTCCAGACAAGCAGCAACCAATTCATGCCATTAGAATTACAAGGGCAGACAGTTAAAAAGTAGCTGTCAGGCCTTTGGAGAAAAAATAATATATATATTACCTCATCTTCCTCAGTTGTCTTGGCAGCAAGGAAGAAGCAGCTGATCGCAATACAATTTAAGTACTTTGGACGGGCCTAGAATATAGAACAGCAAACAATCACAATGCAGAAATAGACCTGTGACCATTTGGGTCTAACACCTTTACCCGATACATTTTTGGAGGCCAAAACAATGAAAGTTGGATGGATGGGCTGCCTTCCAAGCTACGCTGCTGAAAAAAAATCCATATTGCATTCTGAGAGACAAGACACAATTCAAGCAGGCCCATCATCATAAGTGGCAGTCAGTGACATGCATCACTGGAATGGAAAGAGTATCTTTTGAGGTGAGTAGTAGTAGGACGACAAGGAATGAGAAAAAGAGAGAGGGGGCCAGGTATTCGGGGCATAAAATGAGAACAGCTTTACGTGGCTTAGCGGAACTGCACTGATGTATGCCAGCTAAGGATTCGAGTCAGGGAACATACACAGTTAAGAAGCAAGAATGGCCAGATATGGGAGAGAGGGAGGGAAGCCAGCTCGAGTATTAACAATGTTATTTGGACATCAGGAGGTGCTACTTCACGGTCAGGGCGGCTAGGGTCTGGAACCAGCTTCCAAGTGAGGTGGTGCAGGCTCCCACCCTGGGGGGTTTTAAGAGGAGGTTAGATGACCATCTTGCTGGGGTCGTTTGACCCCAGTACTCTTTCCTGCCATGGCAGGGGGTCGGACTAGATGATCTGCCCAGGTCCCTTCCGACCCTAGAAACTATGAAACTATGAATGTGCATGCAGCTAGGAATAACCGCCACAAAAAAAGTTAATTTTACTAGGCGTGCACCGATAAAGATTTTTTGGGCCGATACCGATGACTGATTATTAATGAGCCATACTGGCCGATACCAATCCAATTGCTGTATGCAGCCTGGCAGCTTGGAGGGCAGCGTTCGGCTGGTAAGTCTGCTGGGGGAAGGGGCAGAGGGGAGGGAAGGGACGTTGAGGGGTGCAGATCAAGGCCCCCGTGGTGAGGGAGGGAGTGGGGCTGGGGCAATGGCAGGGACAGGTTCTGCACAGCCAGGGTGGGGCAGGGCACAGGATGGAGCCGCAAGTGGCTCATCCGGGGGGCGCAGTTCCCACTGCTGTGCGCACCCCTGACAGGGTGCATGGGAGGATGTGCCCCCCTGGGTCTGTGTGTGGGAGAATGCCAGGCTCTTCCTAGGGGGGGGTTGGGCTGGGGCTACACCTTGGGTGCACCCCCCCACAGCACTGCTGCTACCCGCCCCAAGCACAGCCCTGGCCCAACCACCTGCTGGGAAGAGACCGGTACTGCCCCTGGCCTCAGCCCACAGCAGCAGCCCACCCTCGCCCCACACACAGATCCCAGGGGTACATGCACCCCATGCCTCCCTTGGAAGGTATGTATAGCTGCAGGAGTGTCCCCGCGCCCCCCTGATGAGCCACTCACAGCTCCATCCTGCATCTCACCCCACCCCCATGCCCCTTCTCCCTCACAGACTTACCAGCTGGACGCTGCTCTCCAAGCTTCCTGGATGTACTCCTGGCTGTGTGCATGTTGGGGCTGCACCCACACACACGATATTATCAGCCACATCAGCCAAAAAAAAGCCAACTGCTGATACTATCAATTTTCTTTTTATCGGTGCCAATACGATATGGACCAACGTATCAGTGCACCTCCAAATTTTACTACAGAAGTCCTCAGACTATGGCCTATGGATCACCAAAGGCACGCTGAGCCCTTTGAGGTAAAATGTTTTAAGCAAACAGTAAACCATGTTACAGGGAAAGGTCCTCTTGATACATGAAAGAAAAAAGGAATTCCCATTCCTGGTCCTGATTCAGCAAAAGCAGTGAAGCATGGGTTAAATTTGAGCGTGCAAATAGTCCCACAGAAATCAACACAAGTGAAAAGCAACAGACTTAGGATCTGGGACAAATCAGAACCTTTGTAAATATGTTAGAGGGGTGAGGTTCCAACACCAGAAGAAAGGGAGTATGTGAAAGGAAGAGCATCCTTCTATTCTGTGCAGACCACAGATAATATTCAGTACCCTGAAAAGACGGAAGAACAATTTCTAAAACCTATTTGTGCACAAACAGAACAGTCTAAACGTGTCCTCTCATTCACCTCTAAAAAAAACTATTTTCACCATAAAACACTACCAGGATTAATTCTAGCTAGGTGAATTCTAAATTTCAAGGAATGAGAAAAAGAGAGATGGGGGCCAGGTATTCAGGGCAGAAAATGAGAACAGCTTTACATGGCTTAGCAGAACTGCACTATACGTCCTTAGCGGAACTGTAGGTCCATTATAGGTATAATGGACCTACAGGGCCTGACCCAGCCAGTCCTGCCCACTTGACCAGGTCCTAGAAATGAAATGGACTCTTGAGGATATGGCGATGAGAAAGAAAAGTTGTAGGCACAAGTCTCCAAGGTCTCAGTTCCTGGAAAACAATACGATCCCACCATCCCTTGAGTTCCAGACTGTAATGGTGAGCCACATTTAACTTGGAATTAACTAATTCCAATAAACCTACCCTTGCTGCTAGGTATCTGCTCAGGTCCTCCTGACAGAAAGGAGAGTAACTGCCCTGGAAGCAAAGCTATGGTTTGTTCCACCTGCCCATGTAGGGAAGTAAGAAACCTGCCAGCTTAGCCCAAAGTAACAGGACCAGATTCTCATAATATTCAGTAGTTAGCCCCTGTCAACTGGGAGAAGAGTAAGGGCAAGTATGTTTGCAGAGAGGAAGAGAAGAGGACTAGTTAGTATAAATCAAGCTATACTTAGAAAAACATCTAATATTCACTGAAGTGTTTCTGTAGACTCTTTTCAATAGAGTTTTTTTTCGTCTTATTCTAGGTGACTTCACTGCACAGGAGCACAGTCAGAATCTTTCACTCCTGCAGAAATACTGAAACTGCCACAGCTATTTATAAGGACATTAAGCTATTTAGGTTCTTAAGGGATGTATGTCTTTCTTCATTCAATGTTTGATTAAATCACTCAAGCATCATGACGCTCAGGTCAGGATTCCTTTGAAAGATTTCAGGGTCTTGTAATTTAATCACTATCTTTCATTATTTCATTGCATTTCCAACTTAGTGGAAGCTCTCAATTGCATTCTGGTAAGACAAGCTACATTAATAATGTAAAGATAAGAAGTAAAAATTTAAGTTCCTATGCATACATTTGTGGAAGACTAATCTCAGCTGTGTTTGCAATTGGATTAACTCCCAAACAGAAGAGACAGCACATTTAACTGAGAACAGCATTTAACTGAGCAAATAGGACAAAGGATTAGTTTAGCCCGACGCAAACTCTAGAACTCAAGGCCAGGTGGGGGTGGCACACATTCCTGCACCTTGTGCAGTCCTCTGCCCTAATGCAGAATGCATGCAGAACACTTGTTCAGATCTGTGGGCATTTTAGACCCACATTAAACTCATAACACATGGCTGTGAATGACTATGTTTTCAATGCATATACATAAAAGGTTTCATCCCTTTAAACTATTATATGCTTATTATTAGAATGGGAGTTACAGAACTGCCAAATAACAGGACTTCTTGGTTGCCACTTCTATAGTCCTCCCTGAACCATAGAATCATAGAAGTAGGGTTGGAAGGGACCTTGTAGATCATCAAGTCCGACCCCCTGCCTGGGCAGGAAGAAAACTGGGCTCAAATGACCCCAGCCAGGTAGGCATCAAGCCACTTCTTAAAAACCCCAGGGTAGGAGCCAGCACCACTTCCCTTGGAAGTTGGTTCCAGATCGTAGCCGCCCTAACTGGGAAGTAGTTCCTACGGATGTCTAATCTAAACCTACTCTCCAACAACTTGTGGCCGTTATTCCTTGTTATCCTGGGGGGTGCTGGGGGAAGCAAGGTCTCCTCCAAACCCTTCTGGTCCCCCCTAGTGAGTTTATAGACGGTCACCAGTTCCCCCCTCAGCCTTCTCTTGTGAAGGCTGAACAGGTTCAGGTCCTGTAACCTCTCATTGTAGGGTCTGCCCTGCAGTCCCCGGATCGTGCGGGTGGCCCTCCTCTGGACCCTCTCAATGTCGCCCACATCCTTCTTGAAGTGGGGTGCCCAGAACTGGACACAGTACTCCAGCTGTGGCCTGACCATTGTTGCGTAGACGGGGAGGATCACCTCCTTGGCCCTACTTGAGATACACCTGTGGATGCACGATAAGGTCTGGTTAGCCCTGCCGACCGTGACCTCGCATTGTCGGCCCATGTTCATCTTGGAGTCAATAATGACTCCAAGATCCCTTTCTGCCTCCGTGCTCTCAAGAAGGGAGTTTCCCATCTTATAAGTGTGCTGCTGGTTACTACTGCCCAAGTGCAGCACCCTGCACTTGTCAGTATTGAAACGCATCCTGTTCTTGTTAGCCCACCCCTGCAACCTATCCAGGTCTTTCTGCAGTCT